CAAATATAATCTCATAATATTTTAAGTAAATTGATGATTTTGTGTCGGGCCGCATTCATAGCCGTCCTGGGCTGCATGTGGAACTGTTCCCACTCCCATCAAGACCAACAGAGCCCATGTGCCCTGGAACCTTCTCTTCCTGCCTCGTAAAGCCACCGCTGTCTTCTCTGCTGCGTGATTCATGGTTTCCTCTCGACTGAATCTTTCCCGTCAACGTAGAAACACATCCCATCTTAAACAAACAGAAGCCCTCTCCACTCTACTCCCCCAGCTGTTGCCCCATTTCTCTGTGGTCCTTTACAGCATCTCATGTTCACCCTGCCTCCCAAACTCTAGTCTCCAAAGGGGCTTTTTGTCTCCTATCTTTTCCCCATGACTCTTGTCACTAATCACCTTTTCATCCCTAAATCTAGCAGTTGGGTCTCAGCCTTCCTCTTACTCATGCATTTGTAGTACTTGTCGCATCTCTTCCTTGAAACATGTTTCTCCTGGCCCCTAGAGCACCACTCTTCCTTGGATTTGCTCCTGCCCTGCTGGCTGCCTCTGTCTCTAACTCCTTTCCTGGTTCCTCCTGCTCTTCTCCCCAACATCACAGTATTGTGTCCGAGTAACTCTTGCTGATCTCATCCACTTTTAAAAATGTTTGGGAGCTATTGGCATGATGCTCACCGGACAAGTTTGTATCTCCATCCTAGACCTCGCTCCTGAAGTCCAGGTGCATGTTCAGCTGTCTGCTCAACCTTTCCACTTACGTGTCTCCAGACACCTCAACCTTGACTCATCTAAAACCAAACCCCGATCTTCACCTCCCACCCTGTCCTACCTGAATCTTCTTCACCCCGTTTGACATCACTACTATCATTCTAGTTACTCAGACCAAACACCTCCCATAGTCAAGCACCAGCAGATCCTCCTTATTCTGGTTTCTAAATGCATCCAGATGCCAGCTCAGAACTTCATCGCCTCCTGTCTGGGTTGTCACAGCAGCCACCAAAGTGCTTTTCCCGCTCCTGCCCTTGACCCCTCAGCCATGGTTCTACCCAGCATCAGAAGAGCACTGAAAAAAGTAATGTAGATCCTATCTTTTCTCCACCTTAAACTTATGTCAGGTAGAGAAAAACGCAGTCCTTTGGCGTGGACCTTGCGGAGAGCACGATCTGATTCTCATTATGCCTGACTCCATCTGCTGGTCCTCTGTGCCCTGGCCACCTGCCTGTTCATCGGTCCACAGGCAACACTCTGCAGTAGGGCAAGTGTATTGATCGCTATTCCTGTCACCTCGCGGTGGCTCCATCACAGCGCCTCTGAGACGTGCCCGAGCACCACACTCCTGATGGGATTATGCCCGCCCCATTTAACACTGCGACCTGCTACACCTTCCCCAGTGTCCATCTCCTCATCTCAGTTTGTTTTCCCAGTGTCCCAATACACTGTTACTGTTTCCTGTTTACTCTCTCCCCCAGTAGAATATAAACTTTCTGAAGGCAAGGGGCTTGTTCATTGTTTTGTTGTGTTTTTCCATTGATACATCCCCAGCATCTAGAATAAGGCCTCAGACACAGGAGAAGGTCAACAGACTTTTCTAACACGAGTGAATGCGATGCACAGTGAATTTTTAATGAGCGGATGCCTTTCCACATGGCACCTTAGTTGTCAGAATGTCAAAGCTGTAGACACAGCCAAGTGAGTGACATGAACGATGATCCTCGTTGATTGGGAGGGTTTTCGACTAAATGGTGGAAGCTCTTGTCAAAGCTGTTCCTTTCGCAATGTGAGCCGACTTCACGTGAGACTGTTGGGCCTCATTTACTGTTTGGCTAGGTGTTGTGACAGCAGCGTCTATTTCAAGGTCACCTCGTCTGGCTCTTTGCCAGGAGCCAATAGAAAACACGGTGAAGTCAGAGCTCAGGAGAGGGAGGGCAGGGAACAAGCAGTGGACTGAGTGCAATGTCGTGTGGCTTCCCATCTTGGGAAGGAGCAGAGCGGGGCAGTGGCATTTAGGGCAGTGCCCTGAGAAGCAGTGAGTGACAGCTGACAGAGAACTGCTCAGTGGGCCAATCAGATACTGTGTTACTCTGATCGCTGGGTGGTCAGGCTGTGCCAAAGACAATAGAATATAACATGAGTATATTACATTGTATTGTACTGTATTATATTATATAAGGTCAAAAGGCAGATAAGTGCCACTGGAAGAAACCAGGGCCTGATGCCAAGTTGCTGAGAAGAGACCACGCATACTGGGTTCCGATGTTTACAGTGAAGGCAGAGAGAGTGACAAGGTCTGGCCCTTGCCACGCCTCAGTTCCTAATGACGGCACGTACCCCACTTTGTGCTGCCGTGGAAGGACTGCTCCCCATCCTGCTGGGGTCTGAAACACAGAAAGTTGGGGGGACATGCCTGGGGGCCGTTGACATGTAGATGCTTCAACAGGACATAGGAATACACCTCACGAGGTGACACACCCAGCGCAGGCTGTGATGGCCGCGTGTCTCCCAGAAAGAGGTGTTGCAGGTTCGAAGGTGGAGGGAGGTGAAAGACTGCACAGGACGGCCATTTACGTAAGTGTTGAGTTTCCCAGCAACTTGGGAAGTTGAAAAATTGAAGGGAGATTGACCGGAATGACCACAACCTCCCAACCAAGAAGCAGGGCAGCCACCGTGAAGTGCAGGGCTGGACGTATGCAGTGGGGTCCCATTCCCCAACCCACCCTCTGCTGGCAGCCCTAACGGAAGCCAGAGGACACAGCCACACAGGACTTGGGAAAAAACACTGGGGGAGGGTGAGAGCTCATTGGTGGGGTACAAGGAATAAGGCCGTGAGCCACCCGTTCAGGAGCGGAGGTTCCCACTGCCACAAATACCTTCCATTCGAGAATCTAAAAATATAAAACCTAAGCTACGCTGGGGCAAAGTTCGCCCAGAACAGCGCTATCTCTGCTCTGTGTATCATCATCGGAAAAGTGCCCTGGCTAGTTTGGGAGGACTTTTCACCTGCTAGTGGGTTGTCATGGAAACCTCCATTGACTCCTACTGTCTTAATCTGCACTTGGCTCCATGTGTACAGAAGTGGCAGAGTAAAGTCTTCCGTGAGGCAGAAAAGCATCCAGACTCTTGGTGCGTCTCAATTCAAGGCTGTAACTGATTACTTCATAAAAACAAGACAAGTGTCAAAGCATGATTTTCCTCACTGAGGACTCAGTGGTACCAGGCCAGTGCTTGATGATCACGAACAGGTCCTGGGGCTCATCCAAGGAACTGCAGTGCCCCCAGAGGCAGGAGTTCTGAGGGGGTGGTGACCTGTGTACCTGCGGGTCCTGATGCTAGAATCTCCCAGGGTTTCTTCCTGTGGTTGGTGCCGAATGGGAAGACTCCTGTGCGTTTGTTCATTGGTCACTATGCACCTGTGATGCATCCCTAGTCCGTCCTGTGGGCAGGAGGGGCATGACCCCAACCCCTGACCTCCAGGTAGGCAGGGAGTTCTGGCATCAGCTGTAGCCATGACGACGGTACATAGTTTTAATGGAAGGAAGAATAGCATCTGTTCGTGTCTTAGTCTGCCTGGGCTCTCATAACAAAAGGCCGTGGACTGGGTGGCTTAAACACAAATTTATTTTCTCATCATTCTGGAGGCTAAGAGTCCAAGATCAAGGTTCTGGCCCATTTGGTGTCTGGTGAGCACTCTCTTCCGGGTTGGCAGAAGTCCGCTTGCTTCTCACTTGGCCGTTCCTTGTGTGTGTACAGAAGGAAGAGAGCTGGCTCCCTGGTGTCATCCGATAAGGACACTAATGCCATTGGATCAGGGCCCCACTCTCTGACCTCATTAAACCATAATTACCTCTTAAAGGCCTTATTCCAAAGACAGTCACCCGGGTTAGGGCTTCAACGTAGGAATAGTTGAAGGGCACACAATTCAGTCCCTGACATTTCTCAATTAAACAAAAATACCTATTGTCCCTTTATCCCTTTGAACTGAATGCCACAGTTGAATCTTTTTTTAAAAGGGCTGGCTAGTAAACTAAAGACTAGAGTGGGCCCACTATTTTAAATGTTTAGAATGACAGGTGTCTGTCAACCAGAAGTTTGAGAATAACTGGCTGATACCTGGTCCGCCCCAAAAATTAACATTTTGAGTTCAAATCTAATAATATCTACAACACATAGCTCAATCATAAAGAACAATACGAACAATCCCGTGTACATTATGCCCCGCTCTCGGAAAATCACCAGTTCCTAAACCCAATCCATCCCCCTCCCTCGCCCACAGAGGGCTGACATGTGATGTTTACAGTTTCCGAGGTCCTCTTCACAGTGTCCCATGCGTTGACTGTGACCCTAACACGCACACTTTGGTTTTACGTGAGGATGAGGGGAAGGGGTAGTGGGTTTCACGTCCCTTTAACTCTAACATTGTTGGGGAGGGATAGAGGAGCAGGCCTCCTATTAGAGTCTGAGCCAGGCTCGCAACTTGTCTGGTCCCCTGCACCCACGCGGCCGAGACCAGTGAAGCTCTCATTCTATGTGTAGGTTCCATAAATGCCTCTCTGAGGAGAGCTGGCTGTTGGGTGCTGCCGATTTTTTTTCCGGCTTATGAGTTCATCAGTGCAGGTCAGAATATTTTATCATGTGTTAACCACCCTTCTTAACTGTTCCCTCGAGAACCTTGGCTATACATGTGGAAAGGGAAGACTGTATTGTAACAGTTTCAAGACATTCACACCATGTGTCCTTCTCATCTATGGAGAACATGCTGTCCTGGAAGAATCTCATTGTGATCGTGTGCTGATTACTTTTTGGTCACCTAATTTCTTTGGCCTCTCTGTTTTTAAAGGCCTGCATAATAATTTGGCAAAATGTACGTAAACAGCCGATTACCTTGACTTACTGCAGATAATGCTTCTCGTTGGGGTGCACCTGGACAGGAAGGAATAGAAATGCATTTAAGATTTAAATTATACTTTTGTTCAGAGTTTCTGTGTGTTTCCATATGTATTTTCTGCCAGGCTGCTGCAGTGAGGGAGAACGCGGATTCCAGCCGGCACGCCCAGAGACTGTTGACTGGGTCCGTGTACAGCGGCACGGAGACTTTGGGGAAGGAGCTCTTCCTGTACTTCGGCCCGAAGGCTTTGCGGTGAGACAAACCTGTACCAGACGTATTGCCTCTCTGCTGAACGATGGGTAGGGTTACAGTTTGCTGGGTGTCACAGTTAATCACATAGAAAATACTCCACTTTTAAGAGTGCTTTAACGGAAGAGGTTGAGATTCTATCGTGGAAAGCAGTAAGCAGAAGAATAAATTGTGATGTCATCGTGACTTGGAGAGCTAGTCACTTTCTTTCTTTCTTTCTTTCTTTTTTTTAAATGCATCAGCTTGGAGGGCCTCCTAAGAGATATTAGAGCGACACAGCTCTGCTTTGCTCTCCTCCAAACCCCCTAACATGGCACTTCTCCCGTCTCGTGGTACCAAATGTTTATTGCATTAGCAACATCAGTTTCTTGATATTTATGACAGCTCCTAGCTTGGTTTAAGTGTATCTCTTGATATCTTTACATTTTTCTGCCTGTGTTCTTTCTTTGAAGCCTGGAACGGAGACAGAAACTTATTTACAGAGTTCAAAAACTTTCCGTGGAGGGAACAGCCTCCCCATTGTCCCACAGTGCTTACAGAAACTCATTGCTAACTTGTGCGCAGGGGAGGCCGCTCCATCTCCTGCCCCGATTGGCTTAGTAATAAAAATGTCGGGATGTATGTCACTGGCGGAGCATGATCCCCTGCTCACTTCTGCAGAAAAACGAAAAAGGGCCCATGGGTGAGTATGCCTCTCCCATCTCGGTCTTCTCGGAGTGCAGCCTAAGCTGTTGCAAACTGTAAGGACTGGCGCTGCTTCCTTGAATGTGCTGGATGTTTCCTTAAGATATTTAACAGTTTTAATCTTTTCTTTAAATGAAAAGTCTCATGACTGGCCTCCATGCTTCTAACTGAAGGTAAAGAATGGCCACGAGTTGACGATACATGACTATATTATGAGATAATCAGAGATGATAGGATTGTTATTTATTGCATCTCATCTGCCGAGTGCTTAGAGGACTTCAGTATTTATGTCCCTGCTTGTCCTTGGAGGTGTCCCTCACTGTCAGCAGCGGCTGCCCTTGGACAGCACTGTCCCTTCCTGTCTGGAGGTGACAACATCAGCATGTGCCTCCGGGCACACTTGGAGCTGACCTGTCACTGGGGTGGGCCGAGCAGAGCGGGCGTGATGGCATCCTGTAAGGGCAGGTGCAAACCTTGACGTGTTGTTGACCCCCCATTATTTGTGGTTTCCCTCCCGGGCTCCCCACCAGGCTGACGAGGGGCAGCATTTCTCTGTGCAGGACTGTCAGGAAAGGGACAAGGGCAAGTGGCTCCAAACGAAGGAAGTGGTGCCACCCCCAAGGGTGTATCTCAGGGTGTGCTGGGGAGAAGTGTAGAGGGTGCTTCCTTTCAGTTCCCTACATCCTTAATGACTGTTTGGTATAACAATTTAAGGTCAATGACAGATCAGTTGTTTGAATATGAACTGAGTATCCTAAAATCAACTGTAGCCTGTTTCACAATTGAAGTTAAAAGACTGTGCACACCAGCCCGTGTTTTGTGGGAGCATGGGGACTGTCACAGAAATGGGATTGTTGTGTGAGTCTGCGTGTCTGCGGGCAGGAGGTAGAAACGCAGTCTTGACTTTGGACTTCTGTTTCCTGCCCAGGAAAAGGGCTGGCCTGCCCTTTAGGGCGCTTATAGCTGGAAACATGCTTGTGCTTAATGATCGCTTACAGTTTTCCCTGAGAGCTCAGCTTTGCACAGTTAAAATTGCCCATGGGTTTGAGTGCCTCTTACAGGGCAGGCCACGAACCTTGGAGGGCGGGAGGCAGCATTGCTTGTGCATCTAGAAGTCAGGAATAGCCCTCTGTCAGAGACGGTGCCATGTGGGTATCCAAAGATGCAAATTAGAGATTCTTGGTCTTCTGCAAAGATGCATCATAGTGCTCAAGTGCTTGTGAGAGCACTATGTATAGAGTGCTACAGATACGCGTTCGTTCTAAGTGTGCAGTTGTGGTAGGTATGATTAATACCTATACTTCTTCTGAACACTGTATGGAAGTTCATGTGTAACAAAGAAAAATCATTTTTCACTTTTTTATACATGTAACGAACACTCATTAGAGCAAACTGAGAAATAAAGGACAAGCAAGAATAAATGTACGCATTCCCCGTCCCACTGCCAAGTACAATCTCACTGAAGTGTGGTTGCAAATATCGCCTGTCCCGGGGGTGAGTGTGTCTTCTCACCCAGACACACCCATCGACAAGCTGCCCTTGGCGATCAAGATGAACACAGCTGTTCCATCTTGCACCAACATTTAAAAGATATATATTTTTAATGAATCTGTCTTTCCAAAACACTTCACTATTTCCAGTTTGTGATGTGCGTGACGCTAAATGTTAGCAATTATCATCCATACTCAGAGACTATGTCTGAAATATTTTAGAGGCTCTGCCATTCTAGAGAAGCTTTATACATTATCGATTTTGCAATTTATTGCAGTTTAAGTGATATGATCCTCCAGACAGATATGCAGGAGATAATGTGACAATTCTTTTTAGGGTGCTAAAAAAAAGTCTTTATGGAATCCATCAGATGCTGCTCACAAAAGCGTTTTGCAGTTTAGACATAGGTTTTGTAATCTGTCGTTTCACAGGTTAGCCAGAAAAGAAGTGTGATAAAGACGCTAACTAAGTTCTGTACCTTCTAGTAGTGAGTACCTACTGTAGTCTGCGCAACAAGCGCACTTGTCTTTTGGGGACATTTTTCGTTCTGGAAGCTGGTTGTCTGGCTACACTAAGCACAGAATTCAAGTTGACGTTAATATAATCCTACTAACCTCTGCTCTTGTACTCAGTTTGAGTTTTCCCTGAGACTTTTTTTTCACATTTTTTATTATTGTTCAAGTACAGTTGTCTCCATTTCCCCTCTACCCCAGCCACCGACTTCCCACCCTTGATCCTACCCCCCTTTGGTTTTGTCCATGTGTCCTTTATATGTGTTCCTTGATGGCCCTTCCTCTTTTTCCCCCCATTATCCCTCTTTACCCCACCCCCCATTATTGTCAGTTTCTTCTTTATTTCAATGTCTCTGGTTATATTTTGCTTGCTTGTTTGTTTTGTTGTTTAGCTTCCTGTTAACAGTGAGATCACATGGTATTTGTCTTTCACCTCCTGGCTTATTTCACTCAGCATAATGCTCTCCAGTTCCATCCATGCTGTCGCAAAGGGTAGGAGCTCCTTCTTTCTTTCTGCTGCATAGAATTCCATTGCGTAAATGTACCATAGTTTTTTGAGACTTTTTGACCTGGTGGCGAGCAGGGTCCACCTTTCTGATGTAGGAACCCGAGGATTTGAGGCCCTAGAATTGGGAGGTGGCTGAGTGCCTCACCTGTCAAGAAGAGGGTGCGAGGTGCGGGTTAGACCAACCAGCCCACACACAGCAGAGAGAGCCTCCCCGGCGTTTTAGGCCCTCACTCTGCTGTCCCCGAGATGCAGCCCCATTCCTGCCTTCCCTGCCACTGAAATCTTCCACACTTCCTGCGATTCCATGAGCTACTAAGTAATCCTTGATGCCTACATTTTTTTGAGTGGAGTTTCTGTCACTTGTACTTAAGGAAGCTGACCACTATCAAAAGGTCCAAACTTCCAGCTATGAGCTAAGTCAGTCACAGGGATGGGATGTACAGCGTGGTGATGGTAGTTTTGATAAGGCTGCATATTTGCAAGTTGCTGAATGAATAGATCATCAAAGTTTGCATCGCAAGAAAAACATTTTTGTAACTGTGTAAGGTCAGGGATGTTAACTAGACTTATTGCGCTTATTTTGCATGTATACAATCATTGAATCATTGTGTCGTACAATTGAAAGTAATAAAATGTTATATATTACGTTATACCTCAATATATGTCAGTAATACCTCCGTTTCAAATAAATGATTGAATGAATGAAAAAGCGGAATAGTAAAGTCATGTCAGGCAGAAAATTAAATATTTTAGTTTTTGAAATGGTAACTTTTTCTTCTGTTTCAGCTACACATGCTTCCGTGTGTAACTGGAGAAAACATAGGCATTTCCCCCTCATTTATTTACCTGCACCCGACCACCGCCAGGGCCGCGGGGCTGCTGCTCTCCTTTTCCTGCCTCTTTCCAGAAGACGCATGATTTTATTCTAAATTTTCCCCAGTTTGAACGTTATTTACGTGAATTGTACGACATTACGATAGTTCCAAAAAGTGTAAAGGCAGAAATAAATAGCACCCAAAAATCACTCTTGACAGTTTTTGTGAATATCATACATAAAATATGAGTTGTATGTAAACCATGTATTCATGCATAGCATGGATTATAATATGATATTGCATAGGATAATTGTATATAAATGGGAATTTTCATTTACATTTGGCTTCTTATTACACATAACATGCATATTTTATCAGTTAGTCAACATCGAAATGTACACATACCTTGTTATATACGTGCAAAGTGTACCAGCGTAGGGATCTATCATCATATTTTTAATATATTTTTATTTACTTTTAGAGAGAGGGGAAGGAAGGAAGAAAGAGAGGGAGAGAAATATCAGTGCGTGGTTGCCTCTCACGTGTCCGTGAACTGGGGACCACGCCCAGAACACAGACATGTGCCCTGACTGGGAATCGAACTGGTGACCCTTTGGTTTTGCAGATCTGCACTCAAGCCACTGAGCCACACCAGCCAGGGCAGATTTACCATCATTTTTTAATCAACTACTGCTGATTAGCATTTTCCCTTATTTTTCACTCTCATAAATAACTCTGAAGTTAACCTCTTTGCATACATTTTAGTGGTTTCCGGGATAAATTCCTATTTGTAGATTTGCTGAGTCTTGCTTCCTGGTGCCTTTTTGTGCCAGTTTTGAAGGCACATGGGAATCTGTCCTGAATGGAGAGCTAAGCGCCTGTGACTGGCGGCACAGGAGAGAACGACTTGCCTGTGGCCCGCTGCGGCTCTGAGTCTGGGTGTCATTCACACCTCTGCGCCACACTTTCAAAAACGCCCGTGACCACGGTAACACGGCACCTCGGTGCTGTGACACCCCGGTAAAACCACCGTGACCCCGTGGAAGGCGGGGACCGCGTCTCGGCACACTCTCCGGGCGTGGATTCCGCAATGAGTCGTTTAAGTTTTCAGACTGATTCTAAGTTTCCTGCCCCGTTTCCACTTCCGGGACATCTCTGGGTCCGGCTCTGTTGACCACTTGTCTCTGAGCATTGGGTTTTATGTCTTTATCTTACTTTTTGGTGTGTTGTAATTTTTTTTGAATTCTAGGTGTCACATTTGGAAGAACATAATATTGCAGCTCAGAAATAGTGACGCACCTTCTAGGAGGTCGTGAGGGTGCGGGATTGAGTGGGTCTGACAGCAGTTGAGTCTGGTTCAGGTTTTGTGGTGTACTGATTGCCTTCACCGCATCCATGGTGTCCGAAACTCCGGCTCTTCCTGCCCCTTTGTGGCTGCTCTGTGGCTGGCGCGGGGCTTGGCGAGGCGGGGACTGGCCTCTCTGTGTGCAGTGCGCGCTCGGTTTTCAGCGCACCCCACACACTCCTGCCACAGGGGAGTCCGAGTCCCCGAGTTTCCTTCCTGTCTCCCAGGGGGAACAGTCTCCCCGCATCATTGCAAGATTCTGTGCAAAGCTGACCCCCTGCCAGACTCCGGGGACAGGCGGCTTTTCATTCTGCTGGTCCTCCAGAGTCGAGTTGTGCACAGGGAATGCTCTCTGGGGGCCCATCGGATGGGGGAATGGGAGGGGTGGAGGGAACTTGAGAGGATCAACAGACAGAAACAAGGTTCTAATAAAAATTTCCTGCCCTGGCTGGGTACCTCAGTCAGTTAGAACATCGTCCAGATACGCCAAGGTTGCAGGTTCAATCTTCCGCCGGGGCACATACCAGAATCAACCAGTGAATGCATCAATAATTGGAACAACAAATCGATGTCTCTCCCCCTGCCCACTTTATCTTCCTCTCTCTCTAAAATCAATCAATCAAAAAATTAGGAAAAGTCCCCACACTAGGTTATTATAACGAGGAGTGTGGAGAAGCACATTTAGCTCTCGAATGTGAATGTCAGGCGAGCTCTGTACTGGGTGGCCATGGTCCCGACACCAGACATGCTCATGGCGCCTCAGCCCTTCTCCCCATGCAGATTTCTCCCCGTGGACGTTGAAAGGGCCTTAACAATGAACACGAAGAATCTGTTGGCTTGTTGGGGCTCAGTTCTCACAGTTTAGCTATTTAATAAAAACAAAATGAAAAGTAATCCTTCTAGGCACATTTTCCCCTAAATGGGCTAGATTTATGTAGACGACCAAAAAAAGGTGTACTTCCTGATTCAGGGTTCTTACCAGGACAACTCCTGCATCTGAGCTGGGTCTCAGCCTTTCTGATGTTTTTATGTAGGTGCGGTTCATTATAGAAAGTGATTTAGAACCCCCTTTATGAGCCATGTGGCTGGAAAGATTCTAGAGACGATGGTTTTCAGGCATGGCAGCTGTACGCCTTCCACCAGGGCCGAACCTCCATAAACTAAATCATGGAGTCCTTACGGGCACACATTTCTCCTGTCAAGAGCTACGGGCATGTGAAATGCATTTGTGATTGATGGTAGGGCATACAGAGTTTAAAACCCACATTTTTAAAGTTAACCTTGTACAATACTATAACACGGCGCTTTGGAATTAGAAGCACCAAGCAGTAACATTTGCTGCCAAAAGAGCCATATTTATTAACTCGACGAAGCTATAAGGAGAAGGATTTGAAAGGCAGAACACAGTATTTCATCTTAAGAATCACTTTTGATCTTCATCAGAGGTCTCATAAAGCCATTTTCCTTTTTTTAAAAACTGGACATGCTAATGAATCCTATAAAAACTGAAAGGTTATGAATTTTTTATCACTGCGTTGTGGCTTTCTAGTTAACCGTAAATATTTATAAATTCCCTCTGCCCAATACATGTAAAGGTAGAAGAATTGGTAGAAAGGTAGAAAACTAGGAGAACTGAAGATGATATCATTTTGAGTTTTTCTTTTTGATGTGTAAAATTTTGCAAAACATTTTATTATGTAGAATAAAGCAGGGGAGATGAAAAGACTTTTAAGTGCCTTAAACTCTAAGATACCATTTTGGAGTGGGTAAACATTTCCCAACCATTGTGGCTAGAAATAAGAACTTTTGAATGTTAGTGGCTTTATAGAATTTATAAAAACACAAACTGTAGGTGATTCAAATTTAGCCTCATTTCATCCCAAGCTTTGGAACCCGAGAAAAAGCTGAAGGATGCTAGACTGTTCTGGGAATAAAAGATGTTTCATCTGACAAGAAGAATAGAATAAGGTCTGTTTTCTTGGATTTATTTGTGAGGCCTTATTCTTCCTCCAAGAATTTATTTTATTTGCAGATTGAAAAACCAATTGTCACATCTGCTAGTTTTTATAGAGATACAAAGCCATATCAGAAAAATATATAATGTTAGCTACCATCGTTTGCCCTTTCCAAGTGCCTATTCTGACTAACATTCGTTTGCTTACAACCCAGAAAGTGAAGAGTAGGAACAGAAATCTGATACATGGTGTGCTTCCTACCACTCAAAAAGGATTCAATTTTGTTTCAGGATTCATTTCGGAATGAAAGGCTCCATCACAATTAATTCACTTGAGCATAAAAATAAAAGTGGAGTTTCTCCCGTGTTGGAAGTCCAGCTCACCCAGGATTTGGTTTGTTTCTTTGACTCCTCAGTGGAACTCAGGTGAAAAATAAAATAAAGTAAAATAAAAGTGCTTCAGCCTCAAAAATCTAAGGCTTGAATCTATAGTTTTGTTTGGGGTGTCACATGTGGAAATAAACACATACATAGAATTTTTTTAATGGCTTAAAATTGATAAAAGCTCATCTTAAAAGAGCCTTCAGATACTAGAGTTCATTGGGTTATACTTCTATAAAAGCTCATTTTCAGTGATGCTCTGTGAAGTCGTAACCAGACGTATGATTAATGTGTCTTATATCCCTTCCTATAGAAACACAGCAGAAAGCCGCCAAAGAGTACGAATGATGGAAGGATTAGATGTGTGTTCGCCTAAATTTAGCTTCCCCAGAGCTGAAAAAGAGGTTAAACAGCAGATGGGACGGATGCTCTGTGATGTGTTACTGGATCAGAGAGTCCTGCCGGGGGTGGGGAACATCATCAAAAACGAAGCTCTCTTTGACAGTGGTCTCCACCCAGCGGTGCAGGTAGGTCACATGTATTTTTTAAAATAATGTCTGTATTTAAAAATACTGTTAAGGGACCCACATGGAACACTTAAATCTGCATGGTGGAAACATTCTCTCCAAACCGGTGTCAGAGGTCTTTGCTCACGTCAGTCTCTATGTATGAGGCCAACCCAGCCCACACTGTTTAAAACTGTTCTTGCCTTCCCGCTCCCGATTCATACACCCAGGCTTCCATCACTTGTTCTGCTTTTTATTTTCCCTACACCACAGACCACTTTCAAGCACTGTGTACTCTTTACTTGTTATATTTCCTGTTCAAAAAATCTCTCTCCTCTGCGAGAATGCAGTCTCTTAGGAGGCCAGTGTGTCTCCATTCACTGAGGTACCCAAGTGTGTAGGATGCAGTGTCTGGCGCAGGGTTGGCATGAAAGAATATATGTGGGGTGTGTGACTGACCTCAGCTCACACCGTTCCTTTTGTATCTGGCACATTACATGCAGGCTCAACAGACCCTCCTGACTCCTAGAAAATGCAGATTCAGTGGAATGGTAAGAATGGAAGCCAGGTAGCAGGGACTGAGGAATGAGTGCTTAGTGAGACACTAGAAGCATTACGAGTACTTGTAAAAATAGCTTAGTTTGGAGTGAGGGGAAAATACTAGACTTCTAGAGGAAGCTGTTAGGACAAGGACTGGGTTTCTTGTTTCTTTCGTTCTTCAGCTGGAGAGATGTGAAGTTATTTATACACTGAGAGAAAAATATGGATAGAAGTGGAGAGGTTAAAACTGCAGAAGACAGGACAAAGTTGTGACAAGGTCACAGAGGCTGGACCTGAAGCCAGGTGGAGGGATACATATATTTTCGTTTCCTGGGAAGCTATGTCCATTACGACCTTGGTCCAGACCCAACTGGTGTCTATTACTGAGTCATTTTTTCTACACGATTCCAAAAACACCTTTTTTTATTTTGTGTAATTATTTCCTGGACAGTTTTCATGCAATCCAAATCAGTAGAAAATAAGTTTTCAAAGAAACCAATTAATGATAGTTCTTCACTGAGCCTTGCTCTGCGACACTTGAAACACACGACTCAGGTTTCTGTAATGTGAGAACAATGAAACAATTTGAACAACAGGCCTTTAAAAATCACCTAGACCTCTATGGAAAATGTTTCTGGGGAAAAAAAAAACTCAGAGTATTGTTACCTACAGTATTCTTATAATCTATGATAAACCGATAATTTACTTTTTATCTTCACATTCATCCAGATATTCATCTAGCAAAAGATCATTCACTTCTAATGTCTGAGGGCTTAAATATTAATGGCATTTCTGAAACTTAGCCATTAGCCCCCTAAAAATGACATGTATAATTACTGAAAAAGTAGTTGAACATTTCAAGGAATAACTGAATATAGTATATAAGATAGGGTAAGAAAAAATGAATGTTAGAAGTTCCTAAGTTTTAAATTAAAGTAAGTCATTGAAAATGTATATAATACTTCTAGAATGATTTAGGTGACTTCCGGTTTTACAGTTATTGATCAGTGAGTTCCTTTTGTGTGGAACTGATGCGGACCCTGGCCAGCAGTGCCCAGGTCATTATGGATGGAATGAGACATTCACACAGACTACCGAGTCTCATGGAGGAAAAGGGACAGTATGGCTTTTCTCTCAAGGAGCAAAAGCCCTTGCTGTGACTGGCCTTTATTGGGTTCCTCCGCACATTATATGATGGTCCTCATTCACTATGCACAGGTTGCTTTAGGTGGTTACCTTTCACAGAAAACAAAGGAGCCAATGCCGTGAATCACATCACAGAAGAGGGATATTTGCACGTGAAAAGGCAAAAGTTGTTGAACCGGTCACAGTGGTCCTTGGAAGGTTTAGCAAGGATTTTAGGAAGTAACTTTCCAGTAAATGTTTGCCACTTGGGGCTGGGCCCACACCACACAGAATGGTCTACATGGAGCCATAGATATCGTCCTATACCTACAGCAAGCTCAGGGTATCAGACAGAATTTCTTCTGCAGACACCTTGAACCCACCTGGCCACACGTTAGTTCCGCCAGGGTGACAGATTTACGCCTGCTGCGTCAAGGAGACATTCTGCAGCCAGGCCTGTTTTCAAGCTTTTCCCTGGGTTAGCAAGGACTTCGACATTCCTGTGTGTGTACAAATTCCTGTCTTTTGAAAGCTTGGTGGTGATCTTGATGGTCATCTACTCTTATGCCTATTTTCCCTTGCTTCCTTCTTTCTCTTTTCTATTATTTTTCTCTAGTATTTTTGCAAGCCCAGCAAGACGCTGACTGATGACCAGTGCTGGGACATTGCATGTCTTGTACAGGAGAGATAGTCAATAAATACTTGAACTTGGAATAAAAATTTATTTATAAATAAGATTTTTTTATTTGTAGTACTGTCACTTAAAAATAAAACCACTGTTAATGGCACTAAATAGGTATGTGAGCAATGGAGTTCTCGAGGATAGGTATGTATTTTAAATCTATTTACAGTTCTTTTAGGTGATTAGGTGGCAAGTGGTATTGTTTTTCTATAGTGAACGAATTATGAAACTCTCCTCAGTTGTTTTTCTATTTTAAGGTTTTTCAATTAACAGATGAACAGATCCATCACCTTGTGAAAATGATACGTGATTTCAGCATTCTTTTTTACAGGGTAAGAGCAAATATTTTTCAGTTACGTAAAATGTCAGTTTTTTCCCTCTCAATGACACCAAAAAAGTAAAAGCGATGTGTAGCCATCTAGTGGTAAGAGCGTAGAAGTGCAATAATGGAGAGTGCCAGGGTAGGGGCCTGATGGACATCTTGCAATTTAGGTCATGGGTCAGCCCAAACTTGTCTATTGTTGCATTCAAGTATCTTTGTGCCAAGTTGGGAGCAGCTCTGTTAGCCTTTGACTTGACTGAATTTCTTTGAATAGACCTCCCTTCAGATTTCACCACTATATTCTGTGTGGTTGAGATCCTTTACGTTAAGTTTAGTTTCTTCAGCTGTAAAGTGGGACAATATTTATCACCACAAAGACTGTTTTGAGCATGAAATAAATTCTTGGTAAACTGCAAATTTTGCAAGTTGTATATATGCATATATATACACATACACATATATGGATACATAGAGAGTTCAATAAACACATTTTATCTTTTAAAAAAATCAAATATTTTTCTCTACAATCTATTTCCTGTATTGAAATTTTTATTTTCACTATGTTCAAAAAGGCAGGTATTGTGGGATTCTTCATTAGTTGGCCTACCATATTAACGAACCCCTTGCTTTACACATCTGCCTCAGGTATCTATGGCTATTTTAGTATTATATATGCTCACTTATTCTCCCAAGGAAACAATTATAGACAACTGCCTATTTTCTGCCCAGATTAAGCTGGGTATTTCAGTACTTTGCTTACATTAATGTAAGCTGTTTGCATGATTTTTAGCTTATATATGCTGAGCCATATTTCTGGGCTTTCAAATGTTCACACCGCTGATGCAAACCCAAAATATTCTTTTGTAGGAGCTTAAATGTGTGTGAGCAGACTGAAACTGTGACAGAGAGTACTCAGTGTCCTTTGAAATAGAACTTATACCAAAATGGACCAGGTGCTTTTCTAAGACAGCTTTTGAATGTCCACCTTCTTGGTTACGTGAATCCGCAGGATGAAAAACTGCAAACTCTCCTTGGTCGGGGCGACAGAGAAGACAGTCTCGTTCGGTTTTCTGTTGGCTGTTGAAACTAAGTGCAGCTCCAGCGTTCTGAAAATAATCAGATTTAAAGCTAACCTAGTCTTTTTCTTTTAACTACATAATCATGCTTAATTTTTTTAAAACACCACGTAAAAGCATGAAAGATATTTTAAATCATAGAACTCATATCCCCTGTAGATAAGAAAGTAAAGCTTTTCAAAGAACAATTTTCAACTCTAACAATTAATCAAATAATGACTTCATTATATTTCACACAAGTCTTAGTTGACAAGTGTTGCTGAATCTTGTCAGTACCCTTTTCTCAGGTGAGAGAAAAGATTGTAGGGACATATGGACTACAGTTTTTAAAGAATTATTTTCAGCAGTGACTTTCAAGAACTTGTCTTTAGCTACCTTAGCAACCCTGTTTTATAGATGGTATTACAGTGTTGTTTATTTGTTTGTTTTTAGTGCCGTAAAGCGGGATCTACTGTTTCTAAACACTTTAAGGTTTATAAGCGTCCTGACTGCGGTCGGTGCCACTGCAGAATAACTGTGTGTCGCTTAGGGGACAATCACAGAATGACGTACTTCTGTCCTCGCTGTCAGAAAGGAGACCCACAACAAGTTGACATATGGTGAGATGTGTAATTGTCAGGCGTACTCATGGTCCCAGCCCGCTGACTAAATGGCCATTCATAAGAAAACATAACTGAATTTATCTATCAGGCTATTAAAAAGAAGACAGAACCTGGCGTGTTTGAGCCCTTGGAGGGAAATAGGAAAAGCCATCATCAAAGAACCAGAATGAGCCAAAGGTCATTGTTTGGATGGATCATTTGTGAATTCAGTAGACAATTTCTAGCTCAGATGGAAATACCCAGCCTTTGGCTTTAACGTGTTTGTAAAGTGATTGCGAGCAGGTGTAGATGTATCAGTAACTGGAGACGCCTGCCCGTGGACCTGGGCTGTGCATTGAACAGTAGATTCACACCGAGCCTCGCCAAGGACTGCAGCGTGGGTTATGGTGAAAACTCAGGTCAGAATTCCACGTATAGACGCATGATTTACACGGGTGGCCAAAAGTCAGGGCTGCTTTTGCTGTTTCCTTACTAATCTGTTGGTTAGATATTCAACATGAAACTCTTTTCTCCAACGAGAAAAATAACAGGAGCACAGACATGCTGGCCACCATTATGGAACAGCTAACTGAAATGGCGCTTTGTAGGGACTGTCGAGAAATTCTAGAGGCACATCACGGAAACGTAACTCTTCGCTCTTGTTATTCTCCATGCTCGAATTTCCACGTGCCTCCCTCTCTCCCCTGATTTGGCTGAGTTAAGATATTGTAGTTTTGCTTTGGGAAGAGTATCACTTGGTTAAAACATTATTTGAGACATGCTTCCTAGTAATGAGATCCGGTATTTTTAGTTGGTTTAAAAAATAACACAACCACAACTGTTTGAATAAAATCTTTGATTTGGTATTTCTGTCTTTCACGGCCACCAGCAAGGCCCAAGTGAAAGCATTTTGTTGAGATAATTCGAACTTGTGTGCAAGAATAAACATGTAGCATTTGGGTATATGCATGAGTGTTCTGCAGAGTAGTCTCTAAAATACTAAGAATGTACAAGAACAAAGCATTAGCCACAGTGCTAGTGGTCCACTGTAAACATTCTCTACAGCAAGCTGCCGGCTAGAATCACTGCACTCGGCCAGACGTCCAGCAGAACGCAACGTCTTGTGGACCACGTGGCCGGGAGAAGTGAGGCGTACTGGGCATGCGCGGCCTGCACACTCGTCAACCAGCCTACTTCCACCGCATGCGATGCTTGCCTGACTGCCAGGCCTCCTGGTAAGACTGAGTCTGGGCCTGGGACTCATTCCTTCTCAAAGAGGTTTAATTCTCCCAAGTCAGGTATATTCCTGGTCCTATCTTGATACCTCCTAACTAAGGGAAATGCTTTCTTTCTGAAAGATTTACTGGAATTGCCAGCTTCTGTGTGTAAACCACGCTAATATTCTGTTGAGAGGGAGGAAAACATGCTTGAGCTAAAGAAGTATGTGCCTCTTGTATCTCAAAAAACTGACATGATCACATCTGTTCTCTACTGGTGCTGATGAATTATTCAATAACGCTTGGCTTCATGCAGATTTCAGCAACTTCGGGGTTTGTTATTCAGCCCAAGTGTTTCGTAAATTGAAAGGGAGGGTTTCTGTAAGAATATCTCTGCAGGTGGAATAGAAAAAGGCGGAATTTTTTTCTCCTCTTTATCCTTCCTACCCCTTGTTATTAAAATCTTTACTCAGACAATTGTACTGATTTCATTGAAATCCTTCAAAATGACACTCTGTGTAGCTCACAATTTCATGTGTTTGAAGAGAGTAAAACCTGCAAGGAGACCTGCGATTAAGAAGCATCTTGTTGATGCGGCGTCTGTTGTGTTGTGTTCTCCAAGTGTTATTTCTTTCTCCACTTAGACATGAGAAAGTTCATCCTTGACCCGCGCGTTGTGTTAGCTGTCATATCATGTTTCGTTCTGCAGGCCAGAAAGGGACAGAGCCCTTTCTGTCGCTCCCTCCTTGGGGTCCTTCGACAGAGAGCCCTGGGAAAACCACACTCCTGGGTTTCCATGTTTACTTCAACATCCTGAAACGCCTTCACACATGTTGCTGTTTTCTCCTTGTTTTCTTTTTCTGAGTAGGGTAGACATCTATCTTAACTATAATCTGCCTTAACAGGTCATACTATAGTACAGATTCTAAAATCCTGGGATGCTTCATGGACACATTTTGAATGAAGGTAAAGTCTTTGGAATTCATCTTTGCTTATTTTTCCATGAGCTTTTCTCTTTGTATGGTCACTGAAAGAAACATTCCTGACCATCTGGCTGCTGGCCTCTGCCCTCTGGTCTAAAGCTTTTAGTGAAATCACCTCCTGGTTGCTGCCTTAACGCTGTGCCCAGTAGTAACAGAAGGGAGAGCTGAATAACCTTTAAGTGCTCAAAGGAAATACGAAGCAAGTGTAAATCTCTGTTAAACCCAACTCTGAGTCCAAGTGGTTGAAAACATTCTACTTCATGCTTCATTTCTTAACCAGAAGATGAATTGTGAATTGCTCAAGCTAACTTTGTGTTACTAGTTCTACATGGTAGTTCACTGTAATAAGTAAACTAAATATTTTAATCAAATGAAAAGATGTTTCAAATAGTATTATGTTTATACCACAGAATGACTTGTCTCTCCTTCCAGATTGGATACTGAAGAAGGAAGAAAATTCTGCCTCTAACAGCTTAGTGAAGTACCCCTGTAATAGCTTTGGAAAACCTGGTACCCAAGTGAAGATCAACAGGAAAACTGCATTTGGAACTACAACCCTCGTCTTGACTGATTTCAGCAATAAATCTAGTCCTTTGGAAAGAATAAAAAGCCAACACCAGATACCACATGGGGAATTTGGAAGCTCGGCTCCCACTGACGTTCGTCTCGGTGGTACACCTCCCCGCTCCGAGGAGAGAGCCCACAACCCCACTCACCGACCTACCACAATAACTGCACCCTCCACTGTCCACCCTCGGTCTCTGTTATCCAGTCCAGCATGTAAGAAACTGAGAACAGCCCACCACTCATCGCCGAGTCTCGAAAGTCACAGCCCTGGACCTTCTAACAGGTACGATGCTTCTCACCTTGGTCTTTACAGTATTTGTATGAAGTTTCAAGAAGGCAAAAAAAAAAAAAAATCCTCCCTGGCTAAGGCAGATGAGTTGGTGGTGGTCAGGTGGGCAAACCCCGAGAGAGGATCACAGTCCAGTACTTCTAGCTTCTCCAGCTTGCACTATAGGAGGGGAGAGGAAGTAGAGAAAGTCGTTCCTTTCAGACTGCAGCTGTGCACATGCCCCACACAGGATAGTCAGACAGTGTAAAGAAAAATGTTTAAATCGCCCGTAATCTTCTTGGTTATCCATCACCACTGTTACCTCTTTTTAAAAAATTTCCTTCCAATGAAAGATGGTTTTTCTAAAAGGGACACTACCATTTACAACAATTTAGTAGGTGGATTCCAGATAGAAGGATCCGAGGTTCTTTTAGTGACATTTCTGCTAAAGAAAGTGGCTGCATGTCAAACAGCCATGTGGGGTGGTGTTTTTTTCCTTTCAACCAAAAGGCCCGAGGAGCATGGGCATCCGAAGGTAGGGCGTTGTGCTTCCCATCAGCAAACACTGCCCAAGCAGACATGCGCTGCCAGGAGGCTCCCCGCTCATCTAGAAGACCCCCACTTCTCTCACCGGGATACAGAGCATTTCATGACAGTGTCATCTCTCATTCCGTGATGATGATTGGCAGCTGCCCACCCTGTCTGTCTACACTCTTTCCCTGTCTACACTGCTTCTGTGTCTACACGCCTTCCTGCCTCGTTTAGTCCTTGATCTGGGTCCCCTGCCCTGGCTGTCCAGCCTGCTGGTACCTCCAGAGAGGCAGCTGTCCACAGTTTTCTGTCCCAAGCTCCTTGGGGAGGGCTCCTTCCTTCAGAAAGAGGATGCAGTGTATTGGGCATTTTCGAAGGGAAGGGAAGGTGAAGTGTCCTCTGTCCTGTGTCCTGGCTCGCCTGTGGGGAGTGAGCAGGGAGAGTGAGTGGGTGGGATCTGAAGTTATCTCTCTGGGATGCTGGTTGCTGGCGTCTCTGATGACCTGGGCTGATGCCCAGAGCCCTGCTTCGGGCAGCGAGCGAAGGGACCGCCTGGTGTACGCATGCTCCTAGAACAGTATCTGGGAGTCCCTCCAGCCTAGCAGATTTCTGAGACAGTTTTGGTCAATGGGCGCTTTTAGGTCAAGTTTCCCCTCCCAACTCCAAATTCATTATCAGTTAATCCTGAGGATTTATCCTTGACTGATTTTTAAAAATTTTTTTGTTTATAATCATTTATAATAACTGGTGTAACTTTTGTCCACGATACTCAAATGATAGACATTTGAGTTAAAAAGCAAGGGGACCAAACTTTGGGTCAGTCAGGGCACCACCTTCTCCTTCTGAACCGAATTAACATCTCCCGATGAAAGCTCACCGAGGAGCCGGTGACGTGTGTCTGAGCTGGGAGCCATCCCGAAAGAAAGCCATTTCTGAGCAGGCGTCTCTGTGCTGTGGCTTCAGTGGGAAGCAGGAGATGTGATCATTTAAAAATAGTGTGGCATTTGCTGTGCCCAGATGAATATCTCGGCACACTTTTATTTCCTTAGTGCTTTGGAAAATATCTCCCACAACTGAACTAATGAAATAGGGATTTGAAAAATTAAAAAAAAAAAACATTAATGTGACCTTAACTCTAAACGGTTTCTTCACAAGCCGTTAGTAATAGGGTCACGTGGTGAGTCACAGGACACGCATGACTTAGAAAGCCGCAGCCCTGTGTGTGGGCAACACAGGAATCCCAGGACCGAGCCTCCGAAATCGGTCAAGATCAACTAGCAAAATAAATGTCAAGTGATGAAATAGGCTTACCCAGCAGCCCTTCTGCACCCAGCCACTTCCCCAGGAATAAATTGCCAATGACTGTCATTTGTTTCATTTTTCTCCTGTCCGGCAGCTGCAGTGTTCATCTTGTGGACAGGATGCCCAGGGAAGCTCGCCGAGTAATACAATTAGAGCAGGTGGTCCACTCAGAGAGCTGATCACCAGCTTAGTCTTTCCTTAATAATTATAGGGTAATTAATTCGCCTTTAGTACTTTTAATTACTGATCTCATCAACACATGGCGAGGAGGCATCTTTTTCGGATTGATCTTTAGGTGTACTTGAATTTTATCCAGCTACTGGATCATTAATTAGATAGTTGAACCCATTTTTAAGCAGCGAAGAGTAAATGCTAGATACAGTTTTAAGTCTTGGTTCCCGTTATTGTAAATACAGAGCAAAACACGGAAATGCGTTTTTCAAAGCACATGTGTGTTTTAGGTTAAACTTCTCCCCGGGCTGATGCTGAGGCTCGTATAGATGGGTGAGACAGAGCCACCCACTTTTCTCCAGTCTGTGGCCGTCAGGGTTGTAGCCCATGTTCTACTCGTGCTCACCAGTGACGCACTGACACTGTACCTGTTCTGGGTCACCTCTGAGAATCTTCAGTCCCCAAGGATTTCAGAGCCACCGGGGTCCCTCTAGGATGAGTCATTCAACCTCCGGTTGTTTGTTTTAATTCGTGTAACACTGCTGAACCACAGAATTTACAACCAATGAGACGAATTCATTAAAAAAATTGGACAATGTAAAATCAGTTAAATTGATCACTGAAAAAATAATATCCATTTGAAAATTACAAACCTGGAATTGATAATGTCCTTCTTCCTAATAATAGTTTTAATCTGATCTCTGTTAGCTGTTTATTTATTAATCAATTAGTAGTTATCGAGAATCTCTTGTGTACCAACCATTGCTCTAGGTTATTTTTGTAATTTTTTAAGAATATATTTTACTTATTTTTAGAGAGGGCAAGGAAGGGAGAAAGGGAGAGAAACATCAATGTGTGGTTGCCTTTCATGCGCCCCCTGCTGGGGACCTGGCCTGCAAACCAGGCATGTGCCCTAACTGGGAATCAAACCTGCAACGCTCTGGGCTGGGGCCCAGTCCACTGAGTGGGTTCCGATGACCTCTAGCCAAGCAAATGACGACAGCAGCAGCACTGAATCCAGCCCACCACCTGTTCCTGCACATGAAGTATTTTTGGGACAAACCCCATTCCCCGTGGCTGCCTTGTTTTCTGTGGCTGCACCACCACGAGCCGTGGGACCCGCCAACCTAAAGTACGTGTTGTCGGAAAACATGGGCCCACCCTGATCTGTGACATTGAAAGACCGTTCATAATCCTCGTGATCAAAGTAAGAGTTTACCTAGGGAAATGCTGTGCTGCAGTTTGGAAATTTTTAAAATAATGATAGAAACAAAGAGGGACCAAGATGTCCTCAGTTAATCGTAACATTTACCTGTGTCGGATAATGTTTCCTGGCGTAACATGAAGGTTCGCTGTGCATATTGGGAGCCCGTGTGATCACAGGTGGCATCGGTATCTTCGTCACATTAACTCGGTTCTGTGCACCTTCATGTGACGGTGAATTAGCCAGAGCCTTGTTCCCATGGGGACTCCGGTTCCACCAGGGCTCCGGGGAGGGGCTGACACTCCTGTAGGTCTGGGGGCTTCCTCCCGACCCTGGTGCGTCCAGTCGGTGGACCACACTCTGATATGAGGATCAGACAGCACGGGGCTGGGTTCTCCTCCTTAACTTTATGCCGAGGAAGAAGCGGAGTGGAATACAGAGGTGATGAACCCAGAGTTTGCACGGGGCCTTTTCCTTTCCACCTTCACCTCCCTCCCACCTGCCAGGACCCCGGAGGGCTCCAGGTTGGAGCAGGTGGATCAGAAAAATGCGCCAGGAGTTATCTCGAACAGCAACCTTCAGAAGATCAGATAAAACTATTTTTTCCATGTGCCCTTTTTAAAAACGAGAGCATCATTTCATGCCTTTCTGTTAGTATTTTAATCTTCTGTTTTCCTACTTAAAGAAAAATTTAAAAGCTCTGTTGATGACCCACTGGCTCCAATTTTGGAATCTCTTGACTTATCTACAACCATCCTGTTATTGAGCTTCCCTTGAAGTTCGAGTTTGACTGTGTCCTGTCTTCAGGGGGTTGGGGTGGTACAATAGAGCGGGTGTTGGCGAAGAAGAGTGTGTTGCCTCTCAGCTTCCCTCTTCCTGGCTGGCGTTACTGGGGATTCTAAAATATCAGCCACCGTTTCCCACCCTGAAAAACTTACCAACACACAAGTTGTGGCAGAATGTCCCAGTCCTGATTTCCTCAGCGATGCTCCCGGCCCAGACGGCTTCCGAGAGGCCCCTCAGAACGTGGGAGTCCATCCCAGACACAATCCGCTTAAAGCAGCGCATTGAAGCATCCGTTTTAGAAACAAGGTTAAACCAATTTCATCACAAACGAAAGATCTATGTCAACGACATCTCAACGAATCGGGGGGAGGGGACGATCTCTGAACATTTTCACTGGATACGATGCCTCCAGGCAGCATCAGAAGGCAAGTATATGGAGGTCACAGATGAAGTTGTGCCTGACTTCACTGTGGCTCAACTCACAGTTTCTCAGCTTTCAGATGGTGCAAAAGAGATACGCATAATAAATTCCGTGAGACAGTCGACGCTATTAGAGAACAGGCTTGGCATCAGCTGATGTTGGCCAGCTGTTGGCGAGTGTGTTTTGAGCCCATTTGTGATAGGCTGAGCTGTGTTGTTCAGTAGGGGAGGTGTGCTCAGTGCTTTTTCGACTTAGAATCTTTTGAATTATGATGAGTTCCTCAAAAGTGGAGGAGCATCTGAAATGAAGGACAGAATCCTAGAAGCAGCAAGAGCTAAGGGGACAGTCAACTACAAGGGAGTTCCCATCAGACTGTCAGCAGATTTCTCAAAAGAGATCTTCCAGGCAAGAAGGGGCTGGAAAGAGGTATTCCAAGTCATGAAACCCAAAGACCTACATCCAAGATTGCTCTATCCAGCAAAGCTTTCATTTAGAATGGAAGGACAGATAAAGTGCTTCTCAGATAAGATCAAATTCAAAGAATTCATCCTCACCAAGCTCTTATTATATGAAATATTACAGGGACTTATCTAAGAAAAAGATAAAAAAGATGAACAGTGAAAGGACAGCAAACTCACAGTTATTAACGACCACACCTAAAACAAAAGCAAACTGAAAGGACAGCTAGATCAGGAGTGGAAACATAGAAATGAAGATATCATGGAGGGTTAGCAACAGGGGAGTGGGAGGAGGAGAAGGGGGGAGAAGGTACAGAAAATAAGTAGCATAGACAGTAAGTAGAAAATAGATGGGGGGCAAGAATAGTATGGGAAATATAGAATCTAAAAAACTTGAGACACGTGGTCATAAACTAAAGGGGGGAATAGTGGGGGAGGGGGGTGCAGTGTGGAGGGGAATGAAGGGGGAATAGAACAACTGCAATGGCATAATAAAATAAAAATTAAAAAAAGAAAAAAGTGGAGGAGCATCTAGTTTAGGAATGGGGAACTGACTACTTTTGATTTAAAAGTATTCTTAAAATTTTATTTAAGAACACTATTTCGTTCCTTAGAAATTAATTTAAAGCATGAGAAAGGATGAATCTTTTTATCATTAAAAAGTTACAAAATAGGGATATTAAAGACTGCTGGTTTTAATTAATGTGAGCACTTTCTCTTTTCAGCTAGTTTATTAAAAAGACCCTTACATAAGGGCATTATTAAAAATATGCAACAGATTCTAAAAGGTTAAAAGTAATCATGGAGCTTCTTTTCAAAGAGCAGGTTTGCTCACACAGCCACAGGGCGGGGGCCTCTGGCCTTGGCCTTTTGTGCAGAAGAGCCAGCAGGTGCTCTTGAACCTAATGTGTGTGGTGGGGGGGGGGGCGTCTAGGAAGCTTCCCAATTTGCTTCACATCATACTCGGTTCTGCTCCGCCAGGCCGCCTGTTCCTTGCCAAAACAGGACTGCAACAATTAGAGTCCCTTGATCACAGGAAAGCATACACAGTTGTTTGCAGAGTGGAGAGTAGAAAGAGTGACTTCTCTGACCTTGTCAGAACCATTGCCGAGGGTTTGCCACCGGTGAGAAAACAGAGGAGACTGTCAGTCTAGTTACTGTGTGGGTGGGAGCGGGCAGCTGGCCTTAGGAATATTTTAGAGGAAATAAAAGCCATCACACTGATGTTGGGTAAGGGAAGAACCAGTGATCACAAAGGAAAACTTACAACGTTGGACGTATTGCATGCATAATTCAGCTGTGTTTTCATGCTTGACAAATTTAAATGACATCCTTTAGGTCTACAGATTGCTTTGGAAGTAAATGAGTCTTTCCTGGGAAAACCAAGAATTAAGACTTAGCAGTTTGTGTAGTTACCTAGACTTGACCGGGGTCCACTTTTTGACTTTTTGATACAGTTTCATTGCACGGGCGGGATGCTAACACGGGGTGAGGAGCCTTGTTACGCTGCAGTTATTTTGTAACCTGTTGTTACAGTGAACTTCAGACTAGCAGGACAGACGGTGCTGGTGCATCGGCAGCTCACATCCCTCGCTGCGGTCAACACCGCCGCCCCTGCGTCCTCCGAGTGGTGAGGAAGGACGGCGGGAACAAGGGCAGATGCTTCTACGCGTGTCCTCTGCCTAGGGAAGCACAGTGTGGATTTTTTGAAGTAAGTGTAAAATGTATCAAGCTTGCTCCAATGTAGTTGAATACTTAGGTTACAAAAATGTAACAAATAAATTCTTTTCCCTTTTACCTTTACATTTTAAATAGCCATTCAATAGAAAGCCTGAATGTTGAACTAAGTTAAAATTCAAGGTTTATCAAAAAAATGAATCAAATAGTGGCTCCTGTATCAGGAGAGTGTCTCATATTTGCAACCATAGTGTAGAAGTGTAGCCCTTGGTTTACAAAGACAAAGATACTGAGTGTATTTTCCAGGTGGCCAAAAAAATTGAGACGATTTGCTCTTTCTCGGTTCTGGGTGTGGCTCTCGTGAGTAGAGGTACATGTTTCTCAACTGCTTCATCAGGTGTGTAACTGAAAAAAGGAAATTCGCACCTGATTCGGTGCTGGAGCAGTTTTCTGTCGGGCCTTATCAAGAGGGAAAGGATGTCTTCAGCATGGTATCTTCCTCAGGAAAAGTTCATAATGATTTCAGATCTTCACCCCTTCGCACGATGGACTCCATCCTAATACATGGATTGCCTTCTCAGGAAGCTTTTGTAGATGCAATGGACAAAATATTATTAGCAATATTAATAATACCCCAGCCTGCTTTATACTTGTCTTGAGGCCAAAATTAGTAAGAGTAATACAGTAGAATCTGCATAAATTAGTTTGACTGGTTCTGTATTGGATTCCTTCTTTTCATAAGAGTCTAAGGAAGTTTAGTATTAGAATCATGAGAGTTGTTCTATCTGAGTGGTTTTAACTAAAACATCTGTAGCAGAAACATTGGTGTTTGCTTTATAGTGAGATAAAGGGATGCTCAGAGTTATGGCAACATTCTGTGTGATTCCAGCAAAACTGAAAGAGATGCTTCTTGTAGGATCTAAGCGTTTTAAAGCATAACAGCCAATGACCTGCGCGGACGTTACGATGTCAGATGAACAGTGATGGGAATGAAGAGAAGGAGGCACTACCCAGAGGTGCCCAGGCTCAGCCCCGCTTTGCTCTCACCTCCCTCTAAACTCCCCATCTTCCCGTTTGTCCCCGCAGTGGGCAGACCTGTCCTTCCCACTCTGCAAGCACGGCCAGCGCTCCGTCCTGAGAACAGTGTTGAAGATGGGGCCTAACACCGGGAGGACGTTTTTTGCATGTCCTCTGGGTAAGGAAAACCAGTGCAATTTTTTCCAGTGGGCGGAAAGTGGACCAGGAATGACCATCCCTCCAGGATGCTAATCTTTTCCCCTCCTGTGACATATCTAACGTGTCGTCTCTTCAAACTACATGTTTAGCCCCCTTTTGTTTAACTGAAAGGTTGTAGAGTATCTGTGGCACTTTATCAAGTTATTGCAACGTTGGAAAACTTTTTTTTAATGTATGCCATCTTTCTATTTTATGTTTTTTTAATTTACCTGATGAATGCTATTTGTGTTTTATCAAATGTATAGTACATTACATTTAGTATGTATATTTAATGGGTTTATTAATGACAATAAAATATTTTTAGTATGTACTTGGTCTCTTGTAACTTCCCTGGGTAAGAAATTATTTCTTTTAGGAGAGGATTATACAGTACAATAAAATAATAAGCTATTCTGCTTGAAATGAATAATTTTCTCAGGTGTTGCCACTACTCATAATATGTGATTAAAGGTATTTTCTATTTTCTTAAATAAAATTTAAGAAGTAAGATCTCCTTAATAGAAAAGGATATTTTCTTCACTTTATTCAACAAACATCAGTTTCCTGTGGCATGCCGGAGGTGTGCCCAACACTTATTATCTCAAATGCATTTTCCTGGAAATCTAGGGTGACTCAGAATATACAAGTAACATTTAAGAGTAGAAATTAGGAGGGGGGGGAGTGGTGGTGGGAAAATGGAGACAACGGTATTCAAATGTTAATAAAAAATGATAAAAAACAAATTGTTGGTATATCCTTAGAAGAAAGTCAATTTAAAATTTTCTGATCTTGATTTTAATATCTATTAATGTTTAAGTCAACTTCAAAAGCTCAATAATGTGCTGTATTTTATTCCTAGTCTTAACTTATTTTTTTTCCCTTTCAGATTTAGTTCAGGTAACTATATGATTATTTTGCAAAAGAAAAGAACGTCCATCTTAAGGTATTTCTGTATATTTGTGGAAAATTCTGTTCAGAGTGGTTTAATCTATTAAAAAGGAAAAAAAAAAAAAAAAGAAGAGAGCCGAGGCGTGGAAGCTGGCTTGAATCCCTTTCCATTCTGTCCCTGAACAGAGCTCTAGAAACTCGCAACAGGTGAGGTCACCAGCCAGGCCACAGCCTGCTTCCTAGTCTCACATGAGCTTGAACTCCACCCCAAAGAGACCGTCAGAACCACCTTGAGATCAGCGGTCTCTGTCCTACGAGCTCAACAGGGCAGTGACTCTGCGGGCCAGACCAGGCACCAGACTGGGCCCTGGACGAGCTCAGTGACATGCCGTGACATTCACCGCGTGATTTCAGAAGGAAACCGCAAAGTAACTGTGACAAGGAGGGGAAAGGCCTGTGTCCAGTCAGGCTGCCATATATGCCAGTCTTCGAAAATAAGCAAAGTAGTTACAGGGAAATAATAGGCAAGTGAACCAACCAACTTCAACAGGACAAACCTAGATGCTTACCTAGTAAGAAATGCATGTGCTTTATGTAAAGAAAATGGTACTGAGAAGCCTCAAAGAACCAAATGGGCAGACAAAATAGGATCTTGGTTAGAAAGGGTGAGTGTTTTTGTGTGTTTGTTTTTTGAATTTTAGAAGAAGAGAAACATGGACTTATTGTTCTAGTTATTGATGCATTCATTGGTTGCTTCTTGTTTGTGCCCTGACTGGGGATGGAACTCACAACCTTGACGACACCGACTAACTGAGCCACTCGGCCATGGGCAAGGATGGGGCGTTTTAAGAATCTCTTTCTTCCAAACTTAATTTTTGAGTGTTAACAAAACGTAATATCGGAATCTCAAGGAGGTGTCTGCTTCCCTTGTAGAGGAAGCTCCCACTGAACCCCAGTCTCGATTCTGGACAAAATCAAAAACAGCCCTGGAGAGGGAAGAAGAGCAGGCCCGCTCTGGAGAGAGGTGAGAGCTGAGAAAAGGGAGCAGCTGGAGGTGGCTCCCCATCTTTTATACTTTTTATCCCGAGGGCAGCGGGAAGTCGGTGTCAGCAGGCTGGAGGAAACCACAGCGGGAAGCCCACTGTCTTCAGGGCCTGAAGAGCCAGCAGGCAGTTTGGGCCACTAGGCCACCAGCACATGGGAGGAGACACTGGAGGGGGGAGCCCTGAGTTCTGCATGTCAGCCCAGAGTGTCCTCAACTCACCCCCGAGCCACACATGCTTGGGTGGGGCAGACAAAACAGAGCGATGACAGATGAAAGAACTGCCCCCAGATTCCTTCTGCCGCCCAAGGCAATTTGCAGATTGAATCCAACCAAAGCAATTGCCTGCTGAGACACAAACCTCCACGGTCTGTAGGGGACTATACCAAACCCAGTCTCCACCGCTGCCCTTGGCAGTGCTCACAAGTTGCTCTGAATTATGCAGCGTGAGAACCAAGATGACATGACCCAGTTCCAGAGAGAAGACCAGCAGCCGACTGACCCAAGACGACAGAGACGCTGGCGTTAGCAAGGAAGGATTTAAAGCAGCGATTGTAAGTACGATCCCCTAGTTAATGTCACAGGAAGTGACCCCAGATGGAAAGTCAGGTCTTCAAGAAGCAATCAGGAAACCTGAATTGGAAAATAGCTAAAGGAATAGAAAGTACCGTTGCCTCTATGTCTTTAAAACACATGAGAAATGTGTAAAACGCGTCTAACACTGTCTAGTATAGCGTGTGCAGATACGATGCGTATGGTAACTCTGGCCTAAGGACAGAGAGGTCTGAGGACCTGTGAGGTGGCAAGTTTTCACGTTCTGTGGGGAGTGGTACCGCAGTAGCGCTCGTTAGGTGTGTGGATGTAGTGCCTACCGCCGGGTTTGGGGGCTTTTCGATCACTCTTTCTGTGAACACTCTCCCAGTCCCACACTCTCCCTCCGTGCGTCCGAGGTGTCAGAGATACGAGGTCATATCATCGACTGTTAATAGACTGAGACTATGGCCTTAAGCAAGGGGAAACATGGTGTAGACAGAGTTTCTGGGAAGCAGGTCTTAGGATCACGCGTGTCCAGAGTGATGGGCCCAAGCAGTCCACGGGGTCCTAGTCATTGCACTCGACTTTGTTTTGTTTCTCACGTGTTTTTAATTAAACTTACGGGGCTGACACTGGATGATGGGATCGTATAGGTTTCGAGTGTACGTTTCTACGATAGAAGATCTGTATATCTACCTGCATCAAACCATCTCCCGTCCAAGGCAAACCAAGGCCTGGAGCACCCGAAATGCAAGAACCCTATTGTTCTTGGAAGCTGAAGAATGAGGGCCAAGGGCTTTGGTGATTGAAATAAGTTGGATCCTTTGAATCCTGTTGGCTTTTCTAATAAAAGAGCAGTGAGGGAGGAAAACGACAGGGAGTTTACAAGAGATGGAGAAATGAAAAAGTGATGGAAGGAAAAAATAGACCCTCTGACGGGGAAGACGGAGGGAACCAAGCAGGGGCATCCCACCTGCAGCCCTGTGGGCTTCATGCGGCCCAGGGTGGCTATGAATGAAGCCCAACACAAAATCATAAATTTACTTAAATCATGATGAGATTTTTTTGTGTGATTATGTGTCACAATGTATATAAATAATAGCCCGGGACAGCTCTTCTCCCCCAAATGTGGCCCAGAGACACCACATGGTTGGACACCCCTGACTTTACTGGAACACATCACAGCCACTTGGCCATCAGAAACACAAATTTATGGAGAGCCAACAACAAAGTAGCCTTCTAAATGTTTAAAACCACACCCTACCTTTTTGGGCTAAATGCTGTCATAAACTCGAAGCCTGCAAAGCAGCTTCAATCTCCCTACAAGTCCATGTCCACCTTCCGTGTGAACCTCTGTCACTCCTGGTCACCAACTTCGGCATTTTGGTTTACATACGAACAAATACTTAGCTGCTTCTAATATGCGTATATTTTTGTCATTATCGTGTTATTACATCCAGCATTTAAAAAGAATTTACTTGGCTCTTCACGGCAGAAAACAATTTAGGAAACTGTACAGAGCAGGAAAAATGTTAAATCTAGTAGTGGAGTTGGTTATTGACTCATTCGTTTAATAACTCGTTTTCTCCAAACTTGAATAATTGAAATGCATTAGAAATGATCCAGCATTAAAAAGTGCATTCTTCAAATGGTAAACACCGGGTCTAGGATCTGAGTGGGTAGTTATTACTTATTTAACATAAACAAGCAAATCCCATTGAGATATGGTCTCATTTTCAGGAATGGTCTGTTAGCAGGCAGCAGAGAGACAACAATTAACCGTATCAGCACATTAAAGCCTAATGTGTAAACTCAACGTTGCAGCAAACACACATCCTACCATGGCCTATTAAGTAATCAGAAATGATTGCAGATAATTAGCTGTTGAACAGCTGCATAGGCTCAAGTACTCCATTTCTTATCAGACAGGGAGACTTCAAGTTGGAAGGGAGGTTTATCTGCTCTGTCTTGGTGGGGGTGGGAGTGTCAGCATGGAACACATAGGGACAGAGTTGAACGTGCTATGACACGCTGCCAGTTTACGTTTCTCCTGATAACACTCCTAATGCTCACACGAGTGTGGTTCTCTGAGCAACAGCTGTGAAAGCAAGGGTATTTCCAACCAACAGAACTCTCCTGTAGATTTGAAGATTGAATGAAACAGGATAGTAGAGAAATCAAGACGATTCCTGTCATGAGTGCATATCATTCCTATTTGTTGTATTCTTAGTTTAGATTGATTTCCATATTTCCTCTTCTGTCTGAGATTGTATTCAGACAAAAATCTCAACGGTGGCATGTGCAGTAAATGTATAGTTGCACTTAAATAAATGTACTCATGTATTCCTTTCTTAAATTTAAAAAAAAACAGCCTTCTTTTTCCTATCCCTTGTTTTACTAGAGAAAACATGCTAGACAGAACGTGCTGACCACTGTTGGAAATCTGAGGGGCCGAGAGGAAAAAGAATTACGTTGATTTCATAGAGGCTTAGAGAAACAGAATTAAGAGACATAAGTTGAATTTTAAAAACAAAGTTCTAAATCAAGCGTTCTTAAAACCGAAACAGATGCACTGCGCGGTGCGCAGGTGCTGCCAGGGGTGATGTCAGATGAACTCAGTGACCAGCATCTCCCAGGTGGATGTGGTCAATGGGACCTCAGGTTCCGCCGGGGGCCACCCACGGGAAAACGGTAGGGACTAAACCTCCGGAGGAGGCGGTTCCACAAGAAATAACTGTCATCACCGACGATGCTAAACCTCTAGGAGGTATTTCCTGAACATGTGCATTGAAGAT